CCTCCTTCCACTCCTGGCCCGGGCCCAGCTCCTTGCTTTGCTCCTGTCCCATCATCGCGCCACTGCTCCATGGAGAAGATGGGAGGGGAATGGGGTGAGGGAGGCTAACTTGAGATCTTGTGGGAGCTGGGAGTGGGGGGAACCTGATTTCAATCTCTTGTTTGGGTTTTTTGGACCAAACCCAAGAGAAACTGACATACCCTTCCTCCTCACTGAGTCCACCTGGAGGGAAGAGTGGAAGTGGATATCCATGTGATGGCTGGGTACTGACTGCGTCCCCCGGAGCCCGCTAAGCCACTGCCTCTCCCTTTGACCCCACAATGGTGCCCACCACACAGCCAGGCACCTCTTGCTGCCCTGCCCCAAGTTAGCTAGGGGCCAGTGCTACCTGTCCCCCCTGCTTCCTATACCTGCCCAGCTGCTGTCACACTTGTCTTTTTCTTGTTTTATCTTTTTTTTTTTTTAATAACCTAAAAACTGGTGGAGTAGTTTTGCAGGTTGAAGCCATGTCTAAATGAAAGTCCTCAGTAGGTGTAAAAGGAAACAGGGAGGGGAGATCCTTAAGCCTCCAGCCAAGCTTGGAGGTCAGGCATTGGGGGCTGCCTTGGCCTGGGCAGCTCAGGCCCCAGAGATGGTGTGGGCAGGGCAGGTGAGGTGAGGGGGCTGTGGCCTGGTGAGCATCTAGGGCACACTAGGGGCTGGTCAGAGTGTGGACTGTTTGGTCTGGCATTTTGTGTGTATGCTGCTTTTCTTTTCTAACCAAGAGGCTGGTTTTGGCATCTCTGTCTCATTTCCTGGGATCTGGTGGCAGATCAAGGTCAGGGCTGGAGAAACAGGGAAGGGCTGTGGAGGTCAAAATCCTCCAGGCCTGCAGGCCTAAGACACTCAAGCTCTCAGTTACTGGGGAGCCTGAGATGTCCAGAGTTCGTGTGGATAGTGGGGAATCAGGTCTGGAAATTTAAAATAAAGGCATGAGACAGGCTTCCCTGATAGCCTGACTGGAAAGGAGACAGGAAGGGAAGAGAGGGAAGAGAGGTGAGGCGAGGCCAGCCTGCAGAGGGGTGTCCCAGTTAGGCCCAGTGTTCGGATGGCTGCAATGATGAGAAATCCCGGGAATTGTATTGACATGAAGATTTTTATTGCACTTGTATTTTTTGTATTAAAGTTTGCATGGTTTCTAATAAAGGATTAAAACATTACAGTTTGTAGTGGAATGGCCTGAGAGTCTCCAAGGGCTTCTCCTCTGAAAGAGCATTTTCTGCAGTGCAGACTTGCCCCTGAGGAGGCTGCCACAGACTTAGCCCCTTGCCAAACCCCCCTCCATTCCTGGTGTCCCTTGGAGCTGAGGTTGGGGCTCTTGACAGAGGTTCAGATTTGATCTCCATGTAGAAGGGGGGCAGCTTCTCCCCATTTCTGAGGTAGCACTTTCCTTGGGGAGGTTTCATACCATATCCCCAGCTCCCCAAGCACATACCAAGAAATTGCAGGGATCTTGTGGAGAAAGTGCTCCCAGAGCCAGAGACTCTACAGAATGCTTGACTATGCCAGAAATAATATGTGTTATTCAGGCATTCAGCAAGAGGAAGGGGCGAGATCAAGCCAGGAGAAGGAAGTGGAGGTGGGGGGGACAACATGAGGAGACACCGTAGGGGTGACAGGGCAGGGCCTAACCGTACCTGGGCCCTCCCTGTCTTGATCCCAGGGCCACAGTGATGCTGAGATTGACAAACAAACAGGCCTTGGGTCTTTTCACTCCTTTGGCCAAGGGAAGGGGTGGGAGAGGTGACCCAAGTGGCGAGCTCTCTAGGTGGGCTGGATGGTCAGTGTTCTGAGGGGTGGTCTGGTCACAGCTCCCTTGAAGGGTCTCACAAGCCAGAGAAGCTGAGAGGGCTGCCCTGACAGGTGGGGACCAGTGGCCCGTGTGCCGTGTACCTCTACAGCCATTCAGGGGTAGGATGTTTCTGTACTTCCTGATTTGCTTATGGCTTAGCCATTACACGTATCAGTCTGTGATTCTGTTGTAATGATTTCAAAAATAAAGCTTGTGATGTCCCACCGTGCAGGCCCTGTCTTCTATATATGGCCTGGTTTGTCTCTACCTCCAGCATCCATGACCCTGCCCACCAATCAAGGGACTGGTATGCACTGTGCAGTCTTGACCTCAGCTGTGAATTGTGGATATGACCAAGGGAAAGTCCCAGCTTGTAGCAGGGCTGCCACACAACCCAGGTCCCTTGAGGGTTAAGGTCCAGGTGGGCCTTGGCTGCCTATGGAACTTCTCCCCCATTGTGCCTGGGGCTAGGAGGGGGCAGCCAGACAACTGAAAGAGAATACACACTGTGGACCACTGCCCCAGGAAGGGAGACCTGGGGAAGAGGGTGCTCAACACTTACTGTCCGAACCTGCAAGGACAGTGACAGATCTGATAGCCTACCCACGGCATAGGCACCAACAGGAGCAGCTGTGACAAAGACTGGGCTGGCCCAAGCAGTCAAGCCAGTTGACAGCACTAGCGGTTCAAGCTCTTGGGGAGGGAGAGTTCTAAGCTCCTTCCTCCCTCAAGACTGGCCCACAGCCCCTTTCCCGAGCAATAAGCGTCAGCCCCTCCCTCCTCCACCTTCACTCTTCTTGGTTTGAAGAACCATGGCCCACGGCCTGGGGTGCTGAGGCCCTGAAAGAGAAGCCTCCATCGGTTAGCATTGCTCACAAGGGATAAATAGAACTTTATTTTAAATAAACATTTGCACTCTATACACAACCCCAGCAGACACGGGGCTCAGTCATCAGCTGTCTTGCGCAAGTCAAAGCTGCCACAGGGCCCACGCAGCAGCTCAGCCAGCAGGGCAAGCAGCTGCCCATGCTCCTGCTGCACAACAGGCGGCAGTGCAGCCAGCTCGCTGCGCAGGCTCCGCTCCACCATGCGGCCCAAGGCCCGGCGCAGCTCCCTCAGCAGCCGCACGGTGCGTGAGTCACCCTCCAGCCTCAACAGGTCACTGTCACTCAGTGAGATGGTGGCCCGGCGCCCATCATCTAGGGGAGGGGAAGAGATGGTGGGGACCCAAGGTGAGGCCAGGCCCCTGAGGAGACAGACCAGCCTGGGGAGCAGTGGGGTGGGAGGTCTCCAGGTACCTACCACGGATGTGGACGTCCCCGTCAGTAAGTAGCAGCACAGCTAGTGGGTGCACCTGGGAGGAGTCCCGAACGAAGACACTGCCATTGGACTTGACAGCCATGAAATACGTCAGCCATCGGCTCCGTAGCCGTGTGGCCTCCCTAGGGAATAGAAGACTGGGTGAAGCCATCCTCTGGACCATCCCAGCTACCCTGCTCCACCCTGACAGCCCCCCCCTCCCCCCACCTGTTAATGGTTGACTTGTGCAGCAAGATGTTGCCTGATTTGGTCCTGTATGTGACGCTATTGGGCTTGAACTTGCCCTGCCGGGTCACCTTGCCCTGCCTCACCTGCAGGGATGAAGAAAAAGATGAGTGGGCTGAGCAAGGAGCGGGGGATGGGAAAGGAGGCTGGGGCCCAGCCATCACCCCTGCCCAAGGCAGCACCTGGATGAGGTTGGGGTAGAGACCTGCCATCAGCACCCCCTTCACTAGCTCCTCCTCTTCACTGTACTCGTTGCACTGGGCAGAGGCCAGGGTGCAGTCCGAGGGCTTCCCCACCAGGAAAGCCTCATAAATGTTCTCTGAGAACTGCTTGACGAGTCCTGGGGAGGCAAAGTCACAAAGGCTGGGGAATGACAGAAGCTCATTATGCACCGGTCCAGTGCGTGTGGGAGAGGGCTGAAGGGCTTTAAGAGAGCAGGAGTGGGACCCTGCTGACCATGGATGAAGCGCAGGCTGGGTGCATAGAGCAGGTTTTCCTCTAGGTAGTTCTCCCGGGAGCTGCGGTCCTGCCAGCGCAGCACCTCCTCCCAGCCGGCCACAGCCCGCACAAAGGCCAGGTGGTCACTGCCGCTGTCATGGCTCAACAGCGCCTTCACCTAGGAGGAGAAGGAGGGTACTGGAGTCACAGGGCAAGGGCTAGAGGCGGCCACATCAGGACAGGAGGCGGAGGAGGGCTGGAAGGGAGAGCCAAAGGGCCAGGGGAAGGGACTGGTCTGACCTTGTCCACCTCCGCCCGGTTCTGCAGGCTGCTGCTGAAGGGGTCCCGAGTGAGGCAGGAAACGACCACTAGCAGCGGATGCAGGCAACGGAAGATGGCAGCCAGCACTATGGCCTTGGCCAGCCGGGGGTCGGTGGAGATGTGGGCCAGGCGCTGCCCCAGGGTGGTCAGGTACTCCCGCTGGTCCAGAACCCCTGCAACAGCTCAGCTGTCAGTCCTGCCCTTGAGAGCCTCTCTGCAGCCCAACCGGCCTGGCCCTGCCCCTCTCACCGATCTCCTGGAGCAAGATCACAGCCTCGTCCACTGCCTTAATGTTTGGACTGTCCACAGCCTTGGAGAGGAACTCTACTGCCTACAGCAAAAACAAGCCACGGCCCATGAGCCTGTGTCCTGCCTGCCTGTTCCCAAAGCCAGCCCTTCCCCACCCTGCCCCTGCCGCACCGTCTTCTCGGGCATGTGGATTTTGGCTTGCAACACCAGGTTCTCAAGGGGCGTGCGCAGGATCTCTGGCACTTGGAAAGGGACCATTTTCTCCAGCCGGCTCCGTGGGAATAGGTGGTAGGCAAAGCCTGACTGGCAGCGGCCCGCCCGGCCCCGGCGCTGGAT